AAAACTTGAGGTCGAGGTTGTTTGTTGTTTGTTCTAGACTCCAGACTTCGGTTGGGGCTTGTGGCTTCCGGGGTGACTTGCTCGCCTGAAGGCTCTCTAAACCCTAAACCCTAAACCCTAAACCCTAAAGACCTTGGTTCCAGCTTCTAAGTCCTGAGAAAACTTGAGGTCGAGGTTGTTTGTTCTAGACTCCAGATTTCGGTTGGGGCTTGTGGCTTCCGGGGTGACTTGCTCGCCTGAAGGCTCTCTAAACCCTAAACTGAAAAACCCTAAACCCTAAACCCTAAAGACCTTGTGGTTCCAGCTTCTAAGTCTTCGAAGTCTTTCCAACCTTATATCTTCATGCACTCCGACAGGGTTCTTATATATACTGAAGCCATGTGTGCAACTCTGAGGGCCTGTGAGAGACCTTGAGCGAGTTTGGTAGACTGTGAGAGAATTCTACCAATTCTGCCTCAGAGAACAGCATTAAAGTCAGAAACATAAAAACTCCAGAAGCCCCGAAAAAAAGAAGCAAGCGAAAGTGAGAAAGGCCGTCTTTTCACCCCTCCGAGAACTCCAGGTGCAAGGCCAGCCTGTACTTCCGAGCCATCTTCCCAACGACCCGGCAAGGACCCACACCTCTGCTTGAAGACTGTGCCAGCTTTTGAGTATGCCTCATAAGATCTTCGCCAGAGAAGCACCACACCACTCGTGGAGATATGTATTCGCTGTAGTCGGCAATGTGCTGGAGTAGGTGGAATTTGCTCGTGAGATCAAAGACTTGGATCCCAGAATGAGCGAAATGGGTCGCGACAGCAGCATGCAGAAGTAGCATGTTCGTGGTGGCATCCCGGAAAGCTTGGGCCGCCTTGGCAGGGAACTGTAATGCCTCCTTGTAGTCTGTAAGCACCGATTCCATCAAAACATTTTGCTTCAGCATCAGACTGATTTGCTGATGGACATGCAGCCTAGAGTTGCAGAAAAAAAGCCATGTGTCCAACATTGGTCGTATAAGATGACGGACTTCATAGGCCTTGCCTCGAAGTTTCGGATAGCCTTTTTTCCGGGTATACATAGAAGCCTTCAGAAGACCACGAAACCGCTGACTAGCTGGAATACCAAGCTTGACATAGCACTCCTTCAGTTTGTGCCAAACCACCCGGAGGTTTTCAGCTGGGTCATTCGGAAGTACCAAATGGCACAGAAGCCATATCACACTTCCCAGCATGTACATGTCGCACCCGAGATACTTGACATGCATCAGGTCCATGGCCACAACATGGCAAGATGTTGAGGGAACCCGAAAAATCGGGTTTTGACTTCGGCTCGGATCCGCAATCCAATCTTTCGCCTTCCAGATCGTGGCCCGCCAGGGTGCATCACTCTTAAAGTTGGTATAAGTCAGCGGTCCCTTGGCCTGGGCCTTGCACAAGCAGCAGGGGTTCTTCGAGCTTCCGTAGTGCTGGAGTTTCAGCACTCCATGAAACCAGTCCAAGTCGCCTATGATTCCAAGCAATACACAGTAGTACCCTCCAGCAAGCGGGGTCAGAGCCCGCTTCTGTTCAGGACTTCCATTCCTGTACCTCAGATGATCCGGAACGAACGGAAAATATTTGCTAAACCCTAAACCCTAAACCCTAAACCCTAAACCCTAAACCCTAAACCCTAAACTCTAAACCCTAAACCCATAAACCAAGGGTTTTCATGCTTATATAGAGGCCTTATGAAACTCTAAAGCCTGCGACTCCTAGTTTTGTAATATCTCGGGTCTGGGGGCGCTTGTTGGGATTTATAGCTAGCTGAATATATGCTTTTGGGATTGTTTTCGCATTGGTATCAGCTCTGGGTTTGTATATATGTGTCTGTGCATAATTGATTTTTTTTGCGAGAGAGAAAGAGATGTGTGTAGGTACATCCATGTATATGTATGTTTTTGACATCCATGTGTAAGTTCATGCACATACATAAAAACAACACACGAAACCACTAAATCCTGCACTCTAGCACTTGTGGCCCGAGACCACACATATTTTCTAGACATAAAGTTGATTGCAGGAGCTATTCATTTCATGGATATAACGATGTAGAAAAGGCTCATAGCAAAAGAAACAAATGATGAACAGTCACAAGGCACTTGTCGCCATTGAAATCTGTATCCGGCCATTGGCCTCGGTAAAGCCACGTCAGTGACCATGCCAGGATCCTGAAAAAGGTGTCAAGAGTAGGCTCGTACTCGTCGGACTGGTTCAAGCGATACTTTTCAGGGCAGGAATATATCCATAGGAGCTTCTCAAGGGTTCGGGATGCCATACCCATGAAGGAGTACCAGCTCAGGGTGGACAGCTTCGACACCCAACATTTTCCCAGGCCTGAAACCGGGCAATCATCGCCGTGTACTCCGATAGGTATCGCTTTTGTGAAGCGATCTCCCCGGGACAAGACATCGTGGCCTTGGAGGGCAGGGTGTCCAGCGACTTTGGTCCAGAAAGGTTTGAGCTCTTCTGGCCGAGGCAATATATGTTTTCGAAATGCAGGCCCATACGAACGGAAAAGGGAAGCAAACATTTCGTGTGGTAACAATATTTGCTGGCTGACTTCGCCGATCTTGAACCTCATCTGTACCTGCATTGGCCGAGGGAGCTTGATGCCGGGCTCGAGCTTCGCCATAAGTTGGGCAAAAGAATTTTCAGGATCTTGGCCTGAATTGCCAATGCCGGCCAAAAAAACAAGATCATCCGGAATCTTGTCCTCCGGGCACCGCCTTCGAAGATCCTCTAGGGACTTAGAGGCCACTTTCTGGGCCTCCTGTGCCGATATGTCGCCCCAAGCGAATTGCTTCAGAAGATAATCAACCAGAAAACTTCTTCTATCGGATCCATGCTCCAGCTCCTCAGCTTCTTGCCTCTTTCGTTTTCTCTGCTGCAAGCCGCCCTTTGGCTCCATCCCGGATTCTCGAAACCATCGCAAGCTTGGAAAAGACGAAAAACTATTTCATGCCTAAAGGGCTGTGCTGTGATCCTATGGGTGTAGGCTTTTCAGCTGGGGGGCTAGGGTCTAGGGTTTAGGGTTTAGGTTTTAGGTTTTAGGGGGCATGTTATGGTATTCCCGAACTAAACCTCGGAAGCCTTTTGCTTAGACACTCCAAACCCGCACAAGTCGCATTATCTCTCAATGTAGTGTCTGAGGATCCGAAACTTAAGGTTTAGGGTTTACGGATATGTAAAAGCCCAAAACAAGTTCTCGCACTGAAACTTGATCGGCGACGAGTCTCTTGGATTTTCAAGGGTCCAGATTACCTGAAAGCGAAGCACATCATCACTGTGTAATTATCACCCCATACATCCTCAACACATTTCTAAGCCCTACACCCCAAACCTTAAACCGTTTGCCTTGTGCGAATCCTCATAACATTCCTAAGCCCTCCACCCCAAACCTTAAACCGTGTGCCTTGTGCGAAGATGAGCGACGAAACCCTAAACCCGAAAACGTAGGAGTGCCCACAAAAAGTTTGTCCCAATGCTTTCAAACCTTGAGAGAAGAACCATGTGATCTCGTACAATATCTTGAGAGAAACCTTGAGGGACTTCCGAGGGACTTTGAGGGACTTTGAGGGCAACTGTCAAGGAGGAACCACGGGAACAAACCCATCCAGACACACAGGCACACACAGGAGACCTGCGACCCGAGCCTGATACGATCTTCGGCATCGCCGCCGGCTGCCATATGTCACACCTGCATGCATCTATATTGTAATGCTGCTGGGAGGGTTTCTGCTGTGTGGCTTCGGGATCGATGCTGGTTTTGCTTGGCTTTTGTGTTTTTTTGCTATTATAGCTATTCCACCACCTTTCTAGCCTCCCACATTACCAACAAATCGTCTAGGATATGGAGGTGGCCATATCAACACTCCTTAATCCCTAAACCAGAAACCCTGCATAGGACATGGAGATATCCATATCAACACTCATTAAACCTTATAACCCCTATACCATAAACCCTTACACTTAGTATACACACATACAGCATAAATAAACCCCTACATCACATCGTCTAGGACATGGAGATATCCATATGAACACTTCTTAAACCTTAACCCCTAAACCATGAACCCTTACACTTAGCATACACACCTACACCATAAATAAACCCCTACATCACATCGTCTAGGGCATGGAGATATCCGTATCAACACTCCTAAAACCGAAACCCCTACACCATAAACCCTTATATACACATCGTCTAAGCAACAATCCTCAAACCTAAACCTCTAAACAATACACCCCTAGTTACAGTCTCAACGGGATGTGCATCCCCGCCAAAGTCCAAAAGACGACAAACAAATGCATGCTTTGTGATCCTTTTGTGGGCATCTGGGCTGTCAGCAAAATGGTGGATCACCTCAAGACAGCACCACATATGTGAGCTTCTCCAAAGCTCCTCTGAAAGTTGGATTGTGCCTGTGCTGGCGAAACCAGACGGATATAGCATGATGTGGAAGGGTTCGCGCTTTTGGGGTTCCAGTTTAGCATATATGCGGCTTGAGTGCCAAGGTCGGATCTTGTAGGGTAGGGTATGGAAACCCACATGGAATGATGCATGGGTTGGGGCTTAGCCTCCGGGTATGGACTCATATGTGGGTGCGACGGAAACCCTGAACCCAGAACCCACAACCTGAAACCCTAAACCCTGGGCCCTGAACCCTAAACCACTAAATCCTAAACCTAACTTATAGCTCCCGGGTGTATGGAATGATGTACGGAGTTCGGGCTTTGTAGTCATTGTTTCAGGGGCATGGAATGATGTGCAGGGCTCAAGGTCCCGGATATGGAATGGTGTACGGTTTTCGGGTTTCACATGTATATATAGATATATGTATATTTAATCATATATGTGTTTGTATGTAGGTAGACACAGAAGGAACAATCAATATATATATATATATATAGATATATAGATATAGATATATATAGATATATATATATATATATACATATATATATATACACACATATATACATATATATATATATATATACACACACGGGTTTAGTGTTTGGGGCTGAGTGTTTAGGGTTTAGGGTTGGGGGTTGAGGGTTCAGGGTTCAGGGTTTGGGATTGAGGGTTTAGGGTTTTAGATTGGGGGTTTAGGGTTTCGAGTTTTGGGTTTTGGACTATGCCTACATACAGCTACAAGCATATACAGCAACACAGCTGCACTCTCCCGGCACTCAGATCCCTCTGTGAATCCCTCCTCGGTCTCGCCGAACACAACCTGAATCGAGCCCTACCTGTGCTCACAGCATCTCTCACAGTCGCTCTCAGTTCTTGGATGCCCTGATCTTGCCCTTCATGCTTTCCACGAACTGGTTGTGTTTCTGGGTCATGGAAGCGACTTCCTTCAAAAAGTGGTCCAAGGATGCTTTGGTCAGCTTCTCGTCGTTGGGGAGCATGCTGAAGTCGATCAACTGGTTGAGGGCAAGGGAATTGTTCTGGCAGCCCTGCAGGGCTTGGCGAAGTCCTTTAACATCCTCAGCAGGAAACACCTTGGAATCTTTCGTGAGCATCTTGTTACACTCAGAGGCGAGCTTGTTCTGGCTGTTCAGGGCATCACGAAGCAGTTTCTTCATGGCATCGGAGATTTCACCGTTCTCGATGGAATCATCGGTCATGGCTTTTTTCCAACTCCACTTCAGCCTGCTCATCATGCCCTCGAGCTGAAAAGCCTCGGTGCGAGACAACTTCTTCGAACCCTCCATTTCGTGCTGCTCGTTCGTGCCGCCCTCGGTGCCCATCACAACCTGCTCGAAAGAAAAGAACTCCTTGCCCTTATGCTCCTTGCATGTTACATCGCCCTTCTCCACAGCCCTGTCGAAGGCTTTCTCGTCGCCATGGAAGTGCTTGGCTATGAAGACACTCTTCACGACACCAATCTCCTCCTCGCGGCTGTACTTCTTGTTGTAGACAGCAAGGCTTTGTTTAAACATGATATCATTGGTGTTCATCACGTACTTGCCGTCCCTGGTTTGCACGAACAGACGATTGATAACATCCGTTTTGTGCTCACGGGGATTCACACCATCCGGAACATTGTTGTAGAACTCCTCGATGTGAGCTGGCAAAGCACCACGGGACTTCAACTTGGCCCATTTTTCACCTTTCCCTTTGGACCGCTTTGCTGAGTCCAAAGCTGGGTCGTCAGCAGCACCCTCGAGGGCATGGATGCTATCGTTGATGGCGGCCGATGGTCGCTTCAAAGACTTCTTTCCCATGGCTGAAAGTTAACACGGGGAAGCTTTACACAAACAGGTTCGACACAGAAGGCAGGCTGGCGATCACGGCTGATTCTGCTGCTGCTTCAAACTACAAGCACCACAGTCGAACGAATTTCTCCAGCGATTCGAGGGTGGTCACCAAAACAGGGTCGAAATTTGGTCGAAATTTCGACCAAACTTCGTCGAAGTTTGGTCGCAGTTTAGTCGCAGTTTGGTCGAAGTTTATGATAAACTTCGATGCATAATCCGGTGGTTCTAGCCGTGTATGATGTGCTGTCTGCACAAAAACAACATGAAACTTCGATACATACTTCGAGGGGG